GTCGAAAGTCTCCTGGAACCCACTACATAAGGGTTGGCGTTTAAGGATTGGTGTTTAATGGTTTGCGTTTAAGGGTTGGCGTTTAAGTTTTGGCGTTTAAGAGGTTGGCGTTTAAGGGTGTGTTTCATAAAGGTTGGCGTTTAAGGGTTGGTGAGGGCAGGGCATCAGTTTAAAATCGAAAGGTAAGCGCGTAATTGGCGTCGCGGCGCGACCTCCCTTTGGGCCTTTGAAGTTTAGAGCAAAAAAAGAGGAGCCAGGGGACGATTTAGTCAGTTGTTTACAACCTTCGGGCCGTCACGACCCACTCCCTGCCGTCCTGCCTCTTCAAGCCGCTCACAGCATCCGTGTGATGCCAGCGAGTGCTGCTGCGAGACAGTGATAGGTCAAGTTTTCTCTCGTCCTTCTCCCTCCGACTCTCTCAGCATCCGTGGGATGCCGCGAGTCCAGCTTTGAGGTACGTGGTAGGACGTTTGTGTAACTGGGTTCATAGACAGAGTTAGGCTAGGCTCTCCTCGCGAAATATTCCTCCTCCAGGTAGAGTGTATTGGTGCCATTAATACATTTTAGTTCAGAATATCGGTGCAGTGTGATTTCTGTGTGTGGGTAGAACGTCGGTGTGGTGTCAGTGATTGGTGTGTGGCACGACTGCGTGGGGAGACGGTGTGCGCGAGAGAGCGAGCGTGGGGCTGCAGCGTCGGCGCGGTGTGGTAATTTGAGCGTGCGTGTGGGGCGCGTGTGTATTGCAACATATACGACCGCCGTCATTTGCGCGTGTTTACGTGCGCGTGTGTGTGGAAAACGCACACTTGCAGCACTACGTGAGTAATTGGGGCAAGGTTGCACAGCGGATTAAGGCTTAGCCACCCGGCAGGGTATGCGTGCATATCTATATCTACCGCTGCTTCTTTTTCTTTAGCGCAGGTACGTGCATATTCATACCGCTGCTGTTTCTTTTGTTCAGCGCCAGCCTTTGAGAGGGAAATACGCGCCTGCAGGGGCGCGCGTGTGCACGCCTCCGCGTTCGTTTTTGTGGTGGTGTAATTTTAGCGCGCGTGAGATAACCCAGGGCGGTGGTGAGCCAGCCGAATAGCGATGCCCCTCAGAAAAGGCACTGGCGCGGGGGGGGCGATCATGAAAGGCGGCCGACGAGGAGGCGGGGGAAGTGGAGGGAGTGGACGTCGCGCCCCTCCCCCTCACGGGGAGCAGGGAGGTGGACGTCGCCCTCCACACTTGCCCCAACAGTCTGTTAAGGCCACACTGGGGGGGAGGGGGTCTTTGTAATCTACATATATCTGTGTGTGGTGAGCGTGGTGAGGGTGGTGATGATTGTGGCAGGTGGGTGTGTGGCGGGTGAGTGTGCGTTGAGGAGTGGTGAGTGTGATGGTGAGTGTGGTGGTGAGTGGTGTGATGGTGAGTGTAATGTGGTGATGAGTGGGTGAGTAGTGAATGGTGTGTGGAGATGTGTTCAGTAGGGAGCGGTGGTGCAGCGGTTAGCGTGCTTCACGAACCCCTAGGTCGACTCAGCCTTAAATTAGTACCTAGTGCAGTGATGTGTAGTAAATATCGCCACTGGGGAGACAACGGCGGACAGGTGGGCCATGCAGGGGAGCTTTGAATTTGGCCTTGTAGGGTGAGTGGATGAGTGGGTGGGTGAGTGGGTGGGTGAATAATTGGGTAGGTGAACGAGTGGGTGTGTGAATGGGTAGATGAATGATTGGGTGGGTGAGCGGGTGGGTGAGTAGGTGAGTGAGTGATCTCGTGCACCTAGCCTGGCACAGCCGTACAACCCACATCACCTATGGTCTGTCCCGTGAGTGAGTGGCGAGTAGGTGTGTTGGTGGAGTGTTGAGTGTAGTGTGGTGGAGAGTGGAGTATGGTGAGTGTGTGTGGGCTGAGTGGGTGACCGGGTGGGAGAGTAGTGTGCAGTATAGTGTGTGTATGTGTGTATGTCTACCGTATATAGCTGTGTGATGAGTGGGGTGATTTTGTGGTGTGGTGAGTGGAGTGAGTCAGTGAGTATGTGGTGGTGAATAGTGTATAGTGTGTGTACTTTGTATAGTTCGATTCCCGCTCACGGCCAACACCAGTGATAATTATCTGAACCGGTCCTAGGCCTCCCCTACGTCGACTGCACCTAGCCTGGCACAGCCGTATGTCTGTGTGGTGAGTGGGCAAGTGAGTGAGTGGATGGGTGAATGGGTTAGTGAGTGCATGGGTAAGTGGGTGGATGAGTAAATAAGTGTATGGTGAGTGAATGGGTGGCTGAGTGGGTGAGTGAGTGAGCTGCACCAAGCCTGGTACAGCTGTACAACCCATAGCACATGTGGTCTGTCCAGCGACATCAAAGTTATGAGAGCCTTCGACCCGTCACGGGCACTGCGGTGACGTCAGCTCTACCTGGCTCCCCCCGCCCCCCCCCCGGTGTCCCCCCGTCCCAGCTCCACTCGGCTCCATCCCCACCCCCCAGCCCAACCCGGCTCCAATCCCCACCCCTCCCCCCCAGCTCTACCCAGCTCCACCCAGCCCCATCCAGCTCCACCGCCTCTCCAGCTCTAACCGGCACCCCCCCACCGCTCCATCCAGCTCCACACCCCCCGGCTCCATCCTTCCCCCCTGGGTTCACCCAGCGCCACCCACCCTGGCTCCACCCGGTTCCACCCCCCTCCCGACCTGGCGCCACCCGGATAGACCACCCCCGCCAGCTACACCCAGCTCCACATCCGACCACACGGCTCTACCCGGCTCTGCCCCCCCCCCCTGCCTCCCGGCACAACCCGGATCCACCTCCCTTCCCGGTTCCACCCGGCTCCACCCCCCAACTGGCCTCCTACTCGCTCCACCCCCCTTCTTGGTACCACCGATCCCCCCTTGGCTCAACCCTACCCCACCTACCCCCACTCCTCCTGGCTCCACCCAGCTCCACCCCCTTCCTGGGCTCCACCTAGTTCCAACACCCCCCCCCCCCCGGCTACACCCGGCACAACCCCCCTCCCAGCTCCACCTAGCTCCACCCCCAGCTCCATCCGGCTCCACACCCCCCCCCCGGCTCCATCTGATTCTAACCCCCCTGGTTCCATCAGACTCTAACCCACTCCCGCCCCCCCCCAGCTCTATCTGGCTCCACCCCCCCCCCCCCGGGCTCCAACTGGCTCCACTCACCCTCGGGACCACATGGCTCCACCCCCCCCCCCACCACCAGATACACCCCCCCCCAGCACAACCCAGCTCCACCTGGCACCACCCTCACTCCCTGGCTCCAGCTAGCTCTACCCCCCCTCGGCCTCCACCCACCCCCTCACCCCCCCCCCACCAGCACCAAACGGTTACACCCCCCCCCCCCGGCTCCACCTGGTTCCACCCACCCCCAGGACCACCTGGCGCCCCCCCCCCACCCCCCATCAGGTCCACTTGGATACACCTCACCCCCCGCCGGGCACAACCCGGCACCACCCCCGTCCCCGGCTTCACCCTGCCCCCGCCCTCCTTCCCGGCGCCACCGGGCTCCACCATCCCCCCCTGGCTCAACCCGAGACTCAACCCCCGACTCTATCCGCCACTCCCCCTCGGCTCCACCCGTATCCACCCCCCCCCCCCCCCCCGCTGCAGCCAGCTCTACCCCCTTCCCATGCTCGAGCACCCCCCCCCCCAGCCCCACCTGGCCCCACCACCTGGCCTCCACCCGGTTCCACCCCCCCCCCCCCCCCACGGCTCCATCCGGCCCCACCCCCTGCCCCGGCTCCAACGGGCTCCACCCTCCCTGCCTCCAGACGGCTCCACCCCCCCCCCCCCCCCCCCCCAGCTCTACCCGGCTCCACCCCCCTCCCAGCTCAACTTGTCCCCAGCTCCATCCGGCTCCACAAGCCCCCCCCCCCCCGGCTCCACCTGGTTCTAACGACCCTGGTTCCACCCGGCTCCACACCCCTCCCAACTCCACCTGGCTTCACCCCTAGCTCCATCCTTTTCCACACCCCCCCTAGCTCCACCTGGCTCCACTCGCCACCCCCCACCCCCCAGCTCCATCCGGCCCCACCCCTCTACCCAGCTCCACCCGACTACACCCCTCCTGCTTCACTCGACTCCACCCCCCTCCCAGCTCCACCCGGCTCCACCCCCCTCCCCAGTTCTAACCAGCTTTCCCCTCCCCACCATTCCATCCAGCCCCACCCCCGCCCCCCCCCCCCCGGCGCCACCCTTCCCCCCCCCCCGGCTCCAACCAGCGCCACCCTCCCCACCCCAGCCCCACCCTCCCCCCCCAGCTCCACCCGAATACACCACCCCCCCGGCTCCACCTCCCACCCCACGGCACCACCCGGCTCCACCCCCCTCTGGCTCCACCCGCCTCTGACCCCGCCCCCCCATCACTCCATCCGGCTCCACCTCCCCCCCCCCCCAGCTCTACCCAGCTCCACCTTCCCCGCCGACTCCACCCAGCTCCACGCCCCCTGGCTCCACCCGACCCCAACTACTTCCCGGCGCCATCCCCCCTGCTCGGCTCCACCCGGCCCCACCCCTATCCCCACCCTGGCTCCTCGCGGATATACCCCCCCCCAGCACCACCCAGCTCCACCCCCCCTTGGTCTACCCGGCCCCACCCCTCCCCCGGTTCACCAGGCTCCGCCCCCCCACATCAGCAAGTAACAGTCATAGCGATTGTCTGAACCGGTCCTGGGCCTCTCCCCCATCGACTCAGTCTCAAGTGAGTATCGCCCCTGGGGAAACAAAGACGGCTGGCCATGGTGCTAGCTACCCAGCCCCACGTGTACCACAGTGCCGGCCTTCAAAGGTGCTCCTACTCGCTATAACACCACTTTCCCCGACAGCCCAGCTAGAGGTTGCCCGCGGGAGCTTTGTCTTTGGTTGGATAGGGGGTGTGACGAAATATATCTGGGAGGGGTTACTGAGGGGACGTCACCCTGGTACACTTCCCTCATTGAGCCCCGCCCTCTCCCCACGCCCCTCCCTTATTGCGCCTCCCTCCTTACCCGCCCCTCGCCCCTCCTCCAGTTCCCCCACTCCCCCCCCATCGCTCGGAAGTGAGGTCACTGGGCGCGAGACGGCGACGGAAGCTCCGCGAGGAGGCGGCCACGAACGAAGAACGGCGGTTGTGGTGAGTGCGGTGGGGTGAGTTGGTGGTAAGTGGATGTAGTTGTGCGTGGAATGGGTGAGTGCTGGTGAGTCTAGATTGGTGGTGAGTAGTGTATAGTGTGTGTATTGTATACATGTGTGTGGTAAGTTTAGTGGCGAGTGGGTGGAGTGGTGAGTGGAGTGTGTGTGAGTGATTAGGTGAGTAGAGCGCAGTGTAGTGTGTATGTGTACCGTATGCATGTGTGTGGTTAGCGGGGTAATTGTGTGGTATGTGGTGGTGAGTGTGGTGGTGAGTAGTGTATAGTGTGTGTAATTGTGTGTGTACTGTATATAGTGGTGAACGATAGCGTAACGGTTAGCGCGTTGCGCTACGAACCCTGCAACCCGAGTTCGATTCCCGCTCACGGCCAACACCTGTGACGATTATCTAAACCGGTCCTGGGCATCCCGCAAGTCGACTCAGCCGCAATTGATTACCTGGTACGGTGTGTGTGTAAACATCGCTACTGGTCAGACGAAGGCGGCCCCTCATGAACCGTGCCGGCCTTCATAGGTGCTGCTCGCTAAAAGCACTTGCCCCAACAGTCTGTTAAGCCTACACGGGGGTGTCTTTGTTATCCATATATATCTGTGCGTGATGAGGTTGGTGAGGGTGGTGATGATTGTGGCGGTTGAGTGTGTGGCGGGTGAGTGTGCGGTGAGGAGTGGTAAGTGTGGTGAGTGTGGTGGTGAATGGTGTGATGGTGAGTGTAATGTGGTGATGAGTGGGTGAGTAGTGAATGGTGTGTGGAGATGTGTTCAGTACTGAGCGGTGGTGCAGCGGTTATCGTGCTTCACGAACCCCTAGGTCGACTCAGCCTTAAATTAGTACCTAGTGCAATGTGTGTAGTAAATATCGCCAACGTTGGACAGGTGGGCCATGCAGGGGAGCTTTGAATTTGGCCTTATAGAGTGGGTGGATGAGTGAGTGGGTGGATGGGTAGGTGAATGTGTGGGTGGGTGAATGGGTAGGTGAAGGATTGGGTGGGTGAATGATTGGGTGGGTGAATGATTGGGTGGGTGAATGGGTGGGTGAGCGGGTGGGTTAGTGAGTGGGTGAGTAGGTGAGTGAGTGATCTCGTGCACCTAGCCTGGCACAGCCGTACAACCCACAGCACCTATGGTCTGTCCCGTGAGTGAGTGGCGAGTTGCTGGGTGGGTGAGTGTGGGACTGTGTGGGTGGAGTGTTGAGTGTAGTGTGGTAGTGAATGGAGTATGGTAAGTGTTTGTGGGCTTAGTGGGTGATTGGGTGAGTAGTGTGCAGTATAGTGTGTGTATGTCTACCGTATATAGCTGTGTGATGAGTGGGGTGATTTTGTGGTGTGGTGAGTGGAGTGAGTCAGTGAGTATGTGGTGGTGAATAGTGTATGGTGTGTGTACTGTATATAGTTCGATTCCTGCTCACGGCCAACATCAGTGACAATTATCTGAACCGTACCTAGGCCTCCCCTAGGTCGACTACACCTAGCCTGCAACAGCCGTATGTCTGTGTGGTGAGTGGGTAAGTGAGCGCATGGGTGAGTGGGTGGATGAGTACGTAAGTGGATGGGTGAGTGAATGGGTGGCTCAGTGTGTGAGTGAGCAAGTGACCTGCTGCACCAAGCCTGGCACAGCTGTACAATCCATAGGACATTTGGTCTGCACCAGTTATGAGAGCCGTCGACCCTGTCACGGGCACCGCGGTGACGTCACCACCACTGAGCGTTTAATGCTACTGTTGCTGTTGTTGTGTTTGCAGCCCCACAAAAAGAGACCGAGTTCGATTCTCGCTCACGACCAACCAACACCACGACCAACAGTGACAACCATCCAAATCGGCTCCTGTGATCCCTCCCCTAGGTTGACTCGGCCTTAAATTAGTAACTGGCGTAGCGGCGGTGTATAGGAGTAGTAGTAGACATCGCCACGCAGGGGAAGTAGGGATACAAAGGTGGGCGTGTGGTGCTGGTCACACACCCACACCACTCTTCGTGTGCTACAGTATCGGCCGTTATAGATGCTGCTTCTACTACCAACTAACTAACCAACAATGCACTTGCCCGGACAGCCCTGCTAGAGACTACACGGGGGAGTTTTGTCAGCCTTCGGTCTTCTCTACCAAGGAGCTATAAACCATCATCACAACAACTCTGATCATCCTCGCAGCAGCAGCAGCTTTTGGCGGTCACCTCATCGCACGTTGCTTTCAGATGCACTTCTGCGGCCATCTGGAACGCTCTTCCGATATTAGGAAGCCACTGGAGCTACGCAACTTTACATCATCTAGATTGACAAACTCATTTCTTTAGAACTGCTTTTTGTGTTTAGTTGTCCATCCCTCCACAGCAGCCCCACAAAAAGAAGTTCAACATACAACACAAAATACACACAAAATATAGATACACACACATCACACACCACAGCACAAAGCACACACCACAACACACACAGCACAGAAGATAACCAAAAATCCCACCATGGAGCAGAACCGCTCTCCTCCCGCACAACCACCTGCCGGCAAGAGGCAACGCTGCCTCTGGTGCCAGCGGATCACCGCTCGTCTCCCAGTCTCCGGAGAGACGCCGCTCCCCCCATGCCCGCTTTGCGGAGAAAGGTTCCCTCAGTCTAGATCTCGGAATGGCCACAGCCAGAAATACGCCAAATGCTCGTTTGAGTGCGCCGAATGCGGGAAGTCTTTCGTGCACCCGAGTAGCCTCCGGAGACATGGCAAGAAGCACGCAGAGGGGGGGGAGAGGCGCTACTTCGAGTGCTCGCTGTGCGCCAAGCGGTTCGATGAGTTGTCACATCTTGAAGAACATCGCGAGACTCATGCAGAGGGGGAACAGAAGAGGCGTTTCTTCGAGTGTGCGTTGTGCGGGAAAGAGTTCGCGAGGTCCTCCGATTTTGACGAACATCAGAAGACTCACAGAGGATCATCGCACCTTGAAGAACATCACAAGACTTGCACAGAATCTTTGCATCTTGAAGAACAGAGGACTCACTCGGAGGGACAGAGACGTTTATTCAATTGCTCTGTGTGTGGGAAGGAGTTTGCGGAGTCTTCATATCTTGAAAAACACCGCAAGACTCACTCAGGAGAGACATCCTTTAAGTGCGCTGTATGTGGGATGGCATTTGCAGAGTCATCGCATCTTGAAGAACATCAGAAGACTCATGCAGAGGGGGCAGAGATATGTTTCTTCAATTGCTCTTTGTGTGGGAAACAGTTTGCAGAGTCATCACATCTTGACGAACATCTCAAGACTCACACAGGATTGTCGCATCTTGAAAAACATCAGAAGATTAAAAAGGAAATGATGTTCTTCAAGTGCATGGTATGCGAGATGGTCTTTACAGAGTTGTCGCATCTTGAAGACCATCGCAAGACTCACACTGGATCGTCGGATCTTTACGAACTTCAGAAGACTCACACGGGGGAGGAGAGGCGCTTCTTCAAGTGCTTGGTGTGTGGAAAACAGTTTGCGGAGTCTTCACATCTTGAAGAACACCGCAAGACTCACAATGGAGAGACATCCTTCAAGTGCGCTGTATGTGGAAAAGCGTTTTCAGAGTCATCGCATCTTGAAGAACATCAGAAGACTCATACAGAGGGGGCAGAGAGATGTTTCTTCAATTGCTCTGTGTGTGGGAAACAGTTTGCAGAGTCATCACATCTTGAAGAACATCTCAAGACTCACACAGGATTGTCACATCTTGAAAAACATCAGACGATTAAAAAGGAAATGATGTTCTTCAAGTGCATGGTGTGCGGGATAGTCTTTACAGAGTTGTCGCATCTTGAAGACCATCGCAAGACTCACACCGGATCGTCGGATCTTTACGAACTTCAGAGGACTCACACGGGGGAGGAGAGGCGCTTCTTCAAGTGCTTGGTGTGTGGAAAACAGTTTGCGGAGTCTTCACATCTTGAAGAACACCGCAAGACTCACAATGGAGAGACATCCTTCGTGTACGTCGTGTTTGGCAAGGCGTTCGCAGAGACGTCACATCTTCAAGAACAGAAGACTCACACGGGGCGAGGGAGTAGGCATTTATTCAAATGTTCCGTTTGTGGGATGGCATTTGCAGAGTCGTCGCATCTTGCCGACCATTGGAAGACTCACATGGGCACGGGGCAGATGCCATTCATGTACGTATTGTGCGGAAAGACGTTAGCAGAGTCTTCCAAGCTTGAAGACCACCGGAAGACTAACACGGGGGAGGAGAAGCTGTTTAAGTGCAAGGTGTGTGGGAAAGAGTTCACGGAGTCTTCGCAGCTTCAAGAACATCAGAAGATCCACACGGCGGGGGAGAGTTGTTTCTTTAAGTGTTCCCTGTGTGGGATCGCATTTTCAGAGTCGTTGCAGCTTCAAGAACATCACAAGACTCACATGGGGCAGAGACTCTTCAAGTGCGCGGTGTGCGGGATGGCGTTTCCAGATTCATCGCATCTTGAAGACCATCGGAAGACTCACATGCAAGTGGAGCGGCATTTCTTCAAGTGCTCCGTGTGTGGGAAACAGTTTGTAGAGTCATCACACCTTCAAGAACATCATAAGATTCACGCGGGGGAGGAGATGCTATTCAAGTGCTTCATGTGCAGGAAAGACTTTGCAGATTCAATGCTCCTTCAAGAACATTTCAAAACCCACGCCAGAGACACATTCTTCAAGTGCTCTGTGTGCGGGATGGCGTTTTTAGAGTCGGTGCATCTTGAAGAGCATAGCAAGGCTCACACTGGAGAGATGCTGTTCAAGTGTTTTGTGTGTGGGAAACAGTTTGTAGAGTTATCACATCTTCAAGAACATTGCAAGACTCACACTCGGAAGAGACTCCTCAAGTGCGCAGTCTGCCGGAAGCAGTTTGCAGAGTCGTCGCACCTTGATGAGCACCGCAAGACCCACGTGGGGGAGACGCCCTTCAAGTGCTCACTGTGCCCCAAGGCATTCCCTCTGCCCGGAGCCCTGAAGCGCCACCTCAAACTCCACTCCACGGGCACGAAACGCTTCAAGTGCGCCATTTGCGCCGATGAGAAGGCCACATTCGCGACATTCCCCGAACTCACCGAGCACCGGAAGACCCAACATGCCGGGCAGCGCCCCTTCTGCTGCGCCACGTGCGGCAAAGCTTTCTCCCTGCCCAGAGCTCTTAACCGACACCACAAGACGCATGCCGGCAAGCGTCCGTTCCCCTGCCCCACTTGCGGAAAGGCCTTCCGTGAATCTGCCGACCTCCGGAAGCACCAGGACGCTGCCCATGGTGCTGAGAGGTCATTCGTGTGCCCCATCTGTGGCAAGGGGTACCCCCGGTCGGCAACGCTCATCAGGCACCGGAGGATCCACACGGCAGAGAAACGCTTCAAGTGCCCCACGTGCGACAAATTGTTCCTGGAATCCGGCAGCCTCCAGAGGCACCAGAAAACGCATGCCCAGGGGTTCGAGTGCGCGGTCTGCGGGAAGTCATTCGCTCAGCCTGAAAAGCTGGAGCAGCATGGCAAGACACATGCCAGCGGGAGGAGGAGGTTCAAGTGCGCAGTCTGTGGGAAGTCTTTCTCGCGGCTGGGAAACTTGAGGCGTCACGAAAATAAACACATGGACGGGGAGTTGCGAGGGACTACCGGGTATCAACAGGAGACTCGAGCGGGGAGGAAGACTCGCACAGAGATGGAGTTACAAGGATCTACTAGACAGCAGGAGGAGACCCACACAAAGATGGAGTTGCACACAGAGATGGAGTTGCAAGGAACTACTGGGTATCAGGAGACCCGAGTGAAGAGGGAGTTGCTAGGAACTACCAGACAGCATCAGGAGACACACACAGAGAGGGTGTTGCGTGGAACTACCAGACAGCAGAAGAAGACCCATACAGAGAGGGAGTTGCGAGGAACTACCAGGCAGCAGAAGAAGACTCGCACAGAGATGGAGTTGCGAGGAACTACCAGGCAGCAGAAGAAGAATTGCGCAAAGAGGGAGTTACAAGGGAATCCCAGGTCTGAGAAGACCCGAGTGAAGAGAGAGTTGCAAGGAGCTACCGAGCATCAGAAGACACACACAAAGAGGAAGTTGCGAGGACCTATCAAGTATCACGAGACACACTCGAAGAGGGAGTTGTGTGGAACTACCAAACAGCAGACGATAACCCACACAGAGAGGGAGTCGCGAGCAACTTACGAATATCAGGAGACCCGAGTGAAGAGGGAGTTATGTGGAACTACCAGGCAGCAGAAGAAATCACACACAGAGAGGGAGTTGCGAGGAGCTACTGAGTATCAGGAGACCCAAACAGAGAGGGAGCTACAAGGAACTACCAGGTATCAGGAGACCCGAGTGAAGCAGGAGCTGCGATGGGCTACCAGACAGCAGAATACTCAAGCAAAGAGCGAGTTGCACACAGAGAGGGAGTTCCATGGAACTACCAGGCAGCAGAAGAAAACTCACACAGAGAGGGTGTTGCGTGGAACTACTATACAGCAGAAGAAGATTCACACAGAGATAGAGTTGCAAGGAACTACCAGGTATGAGAAGACCCAAGAAGATATGCAGTTGCGAGGGAGATGTCAAGGTGGAGTGTCAGAGGTTGCTCCCAACCCCGACAGGCGTGGCGAAAGCAACAATGCTCGAGAGGAGAGGGAGACCTCTGGACAAGGACGAGGAGCGGGGGGTGACTCTGACTGCTTGGTGGAGGTTTCTCAGTTACACGTTTGGGTGGACTCCGTGGGAGACTCCATGTGGGAGGGCCTCGTGTGTTTGGACCTCGAGTGAGACAGGGAGGGGTGCGGTGTTTGTTTTGTTTTGTTTCTCTTAACGTTTTAAATAAACAAACTATTTTGTATGTTACTAGGGGTAACGTGTAAGGCCCACTGAGCTTTGTAGTTCTTTTTTTCAGAAGCTACCTGGCTATCACACGTAATGATATAATTGTAATGTGGGAATTTATAGCAGCAGCCAAATATTCTAGACCCATAGAGTATGGATCTCTGTCTATTGGAGTCTGTGACTGGGTCTGTGGATCTCTATGGGTCTCTGAGTCTGTAGAAACACCCTTTTAAAGTTTTTGGCTGCTGCTATAAATATTTACACAATGATATCAACCACTTCGTCGAGCTATAATTACGTGTGATAGCCAGGCCGCTTCTGAAAAATAGCTACGTAGCTCAGTGAGGCACTTACCTGGTAAAATAAAACATAGCTTACAGTTTTAGTTTAGTATAACCCTGGTAGCATGAACCGTTTGTAAAAACATAGCATAGTTTGTGTCGTGGGAAAAACATTTAATGCAATTGTTTTTTACATCGCAAAGGGAGTTCGCTGTGAGAGTCAATATTCGGGGTGCAACGACTTTTTGAAATATGAAACACCCCGGTTTTAACCAGGAAAATGCAAATTAACGTGCATTGATGATTATAATATGCATGTTAAGTTTAACACGTAGGCTTTATTATGAATATGCATTGTCCTTATAACTGATTGGTTGATATGCCATCGTTGTGGCCTTGTTTCTGCAAAAGTGCTATAGACGAGAGTACAATGCCAAAAGACGACCAGTACAAGGGCAATGCAAACACACTTTGATAACAATAATAATGTATGATTGTTAAGTTTAACACGTAGGCTTTATTATATATGTATACATTTTTCTTGGTTCTTTCAGTAAAGTCACGTAGAAGGGAAATAATAAAATAATAAAAATATAACTAAATTTTCATGACGTTTCGATTGCAACACAAGCAATCATCATCAGGTGTGAAAAACCCACAGCAAGAAAATTTGAAAAAGTGGCGGTTTTTTTCTTAACGTTAGCACCACGGACAGAAACTAGCGGTTGTTAAGACGGACAAGTCCATCTATGCTCGGAACGGAGGAAGGGGGAGAGACGAAGAATGGAATGCGGTCTGAAAGTCACCGTAAGCGTGAACACAAGACCCTAAAAGGTTTATCACATCCTTTCAATGATTGCTAAGCCAGAATCCATCTTTTCGGTTGAAATTGTCTTTGTGTTCGTATATGTGGATAGCCTCATGAACAAATCTCTCATGTCACATGCCATTGACTTCTCCAAGACAGAGGTTCTCTGCAAGCCATCTGGCTACCATGAGAGATTAGTTCATGAGGCTATCCACAGGTAAGCATCCGTATGCATCCATATGGGTAGTTTTCCTGTAGAAAGAGTGGCCCATTGAACCATCAGGTCTCTTTTTATTAGGACATCCAAAAAAGGTAGCTTGCCATCTTTTTCGACTTTCATGGTAAATCTGATGGCTGGGTGTATGGAATTGATGTGGTCGAGGAATTGGTCCAGAGCAGGCTGGCCATTTGGCCAGATGACAAAAGTGTCATCCACGTACCTCTTCCATAAGGTTGGGCGCAGAGTGGCAGTCTGGATGGCGTCAGTCTCAAATTTCTCCATGAAAATGTTGGCTACAACCGGAGATAGGGGGGTTCTCAGTTTGTTTGTAGAAAGTTCCATTCCAAGTGAAGTATGTATTGGTTAAGCAGTGTCTCACCAGGGGGGGTACCTCAGTGTTTAGTCCTTGTTGAACCAAATCTTCAATGATTGCGATGGTGTCAGGTACAGGAACTTTGATGAATAAGGAAACTACATCACAACTGACAAGCAGGTCGTCTGGGGACAGGGAAATACCCGTGATTGTCGATACCAGGTGAGTAGAATTTTGTACCGCAGAGGTGGTTTTTCCAGTGAAAGGCCGCAGGATTTCAGACAGAAAACGAGCCAGTTTGTAGGTGGGGGAATTGATAGTAGAGACGATGGGACGAAGGGGTGTATCTACTTATTGTATTTTTGGTAAGCCGTATAATCTTGGTGGCCTGGCAGCAGAAGGTTTCAATGATAACTGTTTGGTTTGATCAGTTAATGCGGTTGAATCAGAAATGATTTTGTTGGTTTGTATGACGAGACTGTTGGTGGGATCTCTTTATTTTTGTATAGCTGCCATCGTTGAGTCATTCTTGAATTTTGTTATATGCTATTTTATCCATGATGACAGTGGCATTGCCCTTGTCGGCTGAGAGGATGACAATGTCATCTCTCTTTTTTAATTTATATTATTCAAAACGCTCACCTTTAATGAGGTTGCTAGCTGGCATCTTATTTGTCACGGATCTTGGTGCCCCTTGAGCTGCTTGGGGCTCCTCTTAGCTTTTGCTTAGCTTGGGCCTGACACCTGCCACCGTGCCCCTGATAGACACAGGACCTGGGTCTGACTTCAATGAGACATTCGTTGCCTTCGGGGTTCAGGGAGCTCTGGCTCGACGTGGCCGAGCAGCCCAGCACTGAGTGGAAGAGCCACAGGAGCTTACACCCTTCCTCAGCCATTGGTGCCCCGGGCCTGTGCGACAGTGACCGTGAAGGGGGGGGGGGTATTCTATAGCATTAAAATCATTGTGGGTAATTCAGAAAACATTTTTAACCATACTGGGTTTCAATAGATGAGTCACAGTCACCTTTAAAAGCAATGGTTAGGCACTAAAAGAGATATGTTCAGCCCTTTAGAAAATCCACTGCTGGATGAGGGTCTCCCCAGGCCATGCCGATTTGGGGGGGGGGGGGGGCGGTGTGGGGGGAGAGGTTTGACCATTCACGCTGTTCAATGAAAGTTGTTGAAGGGGGGGGAAGCAAAGATAAATTCAAATAGAGCTCTCCACTGATGTCAGCCGTGCCTGGTCACTTGCTCGGTTCAAAGTGCAGTATCCCTGCGGGACGTCATGTCCCGCAGGGATACATAGGGGAGAGTCCGTGATGTAAGCGGGGTCGTAGCTGGAGTCAAGGGTCGGAGTAGGGTGGAACGGAGGGCCAGGGGCAAGGGGATAGGAGTTGGGAACAGCACAGTACAAGGGCTGGAGGTGGCTGCGCTCCTCGGTCGGCCGTGTTGGCTGAACCCACGGCCGGCGCAGAGGAGGCAGCACGGGACAGCCTGCTATGGAGGGAACCCGTGGGAACTAGCTTGGGATCCCTAACCCCTGGGAAGTTGTTACACCCTTTATGTTAGTGGCATTAGCCCCAATAAACTACCGGCGCAAACCCTTAAACCTTACCTACGTCTCCGAGCCATCTGTAACTATTCACAATACAATGGCCACCTCCGCGCCCTCGTCATGGAGGCAGCTCTCCGATCTTACATTTACATGCAAATTTCTCACTTTAACATCACTAGCTCTGCCCACTTCGTTTATGACCCTTGGGCTACACCCATTTCAAACCTTTTAAACAGCCTGCCTCAGCTGCTTTCCCCCTCTTTTTTCTCCAGATGACAATTACTTGTGTTGCGATCGAAACGTGATATTTTTATTATTTTTTATTCACTTTATTTTCATTTTTTCTTTCTATCTACGTGACTTTACTGAAAAACCGAAAGAATATGAATTCCTGCATTCACAAAAGCTTTAAGTCAAGATTTAACCTGCTCTATGGGGAGGATATCCATACAACTATTAGATCTTTTAACAAACTTTTAGACAAGAAGGCTCAGCTGATCGTGTCGCTCACATTTCTGAAGAGATGCTGTGACACTAAGGTAATACCGATCGCCTTTACCCTGACATCTGCTGCTGTCACTTCTCCTAATACTAAACGTATCTTCTTCTTTGGTTCTTTCGGTAAAGTCACGTAGAATGATAATAAAATAATAAATTGATAAAATAACAATTATATTCTCACGACGTTTCGGCCACAACACAAGCGGCCTTCATCAGGTGAAGGGGGCGAGACTGTCTGGTAGGACAGCGCTGGAGTGAAAGAGCCACGTTCAGATACGGCCTTTAAGCTGTGTGAGAGGAACAAAGCGCCTTGACAAAGGAATTAGCATATAATTTAGCATTGAAATGGCTGAATGATTAGCTTGTGACTGGTCACAGAAATAGCTATGTTAAAAGTTAAAGCATACACACCCGCAGAGGCACCCATTGTTAAAGGGATTAGCATAGAATTTAGCATTGAAATAGCTAAGTTAAGGCATACACATCTTGACAATGGAATTAGCATAGAATTTAGCATTGAGATAGCCGAGTGATTAGCTTGTACCTGCTGCAGAAATAGAGCTTGTACCTGCTGCAGAAATAGCTACGTTAAAGTCAGCATACACATTCACCGAGGCCCTTAGTACAAATCAAACAGGAGAATTTAGCATTGAAATAACTAGGCGAATCCAGCATTGAAACAACTGAGTGATTAGCTAGTGACTGGTCACAGAAATGACTACACATCTGAGCTATTCACAGTACTATATAGTGAACCAATAAAACTAAAATATAAATTACCTTCATGTTATCAATAAACTCTATATTCTCCAATCAGCTAAGCTACCAACAATAAGTCGTTATATATCACAATGCTATATGGCGAAAAAATGGGTGGATTCTTACCCTCAAATTTCAGCACCACGGATAGCTACGGGACCCGTTCAGACGGACGAGTTCGTCCATGGTCGGAACAGAGGAGGGGGAGAGAGACAGCTGCGAGGCCCTAGTATGCTCCATATTGTAAAACTATACCATTAACCGTGGTGTGAGAGGTATTAAGAGGCAATGCTGGCGAAAGAGCTGCAGTCTGAAGGTCATCGTAAAAGTACAATTAATTAAGAACAGAAATGATTTAAAACATCTTTCCAGTGGTTACTAAGCCTGAATCCATCTTCTCGGTTGAAATTGTCTCTGTGCTTGTATATGTGAATGGCCTCATGAACGAATCTCTCATGGTAGCCGGTTGGTTTGCAAAGAACCTCCGTCTTGGAGAAGTCAATGTCATGTGAGCCCACTGAATTATAACAGTGATCTGCCACGGCAGAGGAGTTCGTCCTACCGTGTTTCAAGTCTGCTTGAAACACGACTACACAATCTGCAAAGCCATCACTCCAGTCATGAAGAAGGATCCTCTTGTGGAGCCACTCAAAACCATCACCTTACCCTACATTGCAGGGGTCACTAAAAAGATCTCCAAAAT